AGTAGGTAGACAAGGATTCACCTTCACTCATCCTAGTATATTCAAAATCTCTCCTTAACATTGGAGCTATTTGACTGATCTAACCTTTTTGTCACGTCGAAATTCCTGTTGTAGAACATCCTGAGCTGCCTTGGATGTCTTCAAGTTTGAGATTCGGAGAAATATCTCGTCTGAAACTGCTCCGTGAATGATACCAAGAGCTTTTGCCTATTTAGTTTCATTTTCTTTCATCGCAATCCTCTTCACTGATAGTTGTTCATCATCGCTCGAATCATCCTCCATTTTTTAGTTTTCATACCCTTTTTCCGTGAGCTTCTAGAGATCATGAGACTTGAATATGGTCTGCATTTTGATAACCAGAAATTATAGTTGAATCCAATGAAGATATGACCCATTTTTTCTCGACATTGTTCGATCCAACCATCTGAGACTTTGAGTCGAAAGCTAGGGTTCTTCGAGACCTGGGTTTTGCCCCCTTTTCTTCTTCACAGATTCAGAGACTGTAATGGCCAGTTCCAAAAATCAGAACTAGAGCTCTGAGACCATGTTAATATATTCTATGCTGGAAATTTCCTTAATTAGCATGTTCTGTGTATTAATTTGGCATATTTATCTATGCATGTCTCTATCATCATCATATATTTTATGCTGAAAATTTCCTTAATTCGTATGTTTGGTGGATTTATTTGGCATATTTATCTATGCAGGTTTTAGCAAGCGTATATTTTCAAGGCGGTCTACCATTTTCATTTATGAAACTTAAGACGTTGGATATTTTTGCTTATGGTTATGATATACCTGGACTGCTATGCTTATTCAAGAGCTCTCCTATCGTCGACACTCTTAAAATTATGGTATGCCCTAAAACAACCAATGAGGTAAAGCTCAGTGTAATTCGATATGTTTATATTTCAAACAGTACGTAAGAAGTCCTATAATATATTTATGCACAGATTTACAGTTCAACTATCTGATTGAATAATTAATATATTCTAAAACTTAGGTCCCAAACTGGAACAACATTTTGTTGGACAATGCTAACTGTGCTGAAGAGCAATACTGGGTAAAAACAAGTTCCAACTTTGAGGTCAATCCTGTGTAACATAAAGATGGTGACGATTTATGTTGGGGAACGTATAGAAGAACTTGAGAGAGCTGTTATGATGACAAGATTTTTGCTTGAACAGGGTACAAGCTTGCAAGAAATGGTTCTTGTTGTACCGCAATCTAATGCCAATAATCTAGATACTTGGAAGGACAAAATGGGTCTAACAGAAGGATTTCGCCCGGCATCTCCTCATGTCAAGGTACTAATGACAGCTCTTTCAAGCCGACGAGGGGCTAGCTGAACTTCAGCCCAAGCGCTCCTCTGCTTAATGTAATGACTTTGGTTTTGCTAATTCCTAACCCCTTGTTTTTCCCATGTGGTTTTCTTCGGGAGGTTTTAGCGAGGCCCCAAGTCGTATCTTTTGATTGTAAGGAATTAATGAATTATCTTTTTTTTTTCTTTAAAAAAAAGCTGCACCCTGAATTTAAGATTATTAACTTTCATGGACGGTTACCAGTAGTAAGCTTTTACAATCATGCCAGTTTTTGTGTGCAGCTATATAGTAATATTCATGTCAGTATGAGATGAGGGTGACTGCATGCATACTGGCATTGCATATTTAGCTCAATATAGCTGTAGAGGTTTCTTCTACCCTTCAATACGGTAGTGTTGGCTGTGGTCCTCATTCCCTACCTCAACTTCACCAAACTCAATCCGATTGCTCGAATCTCTTCCAACTCGGACATACTCACATATTCTATGCTTCTCGTCCTTAACCGTCAAATCCACACAAAGATGGAGCTATATATGGGCTTGTCCTTTACTCGCCTTTTCCATGGTTCGCCCTCCATTGCCTTATATCAGTGCCAGTGATGAGATACCGTTTAAGAAAGTTGTTGATCAGTAAAAGATAGGTTTCTGTTTTAAGTTTCAGAAATGGAACGTTGGACAATGCCAACTTTGCACTACAGAAACGCAACCATTGGAAACTCATCCAGCTCAAACATTGAGACCCTTCCTAGTTTCGAGTCCTGAGGAGTATATTGCTCATCAGGTGTTGAGTGTGAGTCTGCTAGTTTGAATTACTTGTAACTCTTGTTTCAAGTAGGCATGACAATTATAACCGTTAAACCCGATAATCGTAGATAATTGCCTGAATGGATTGGATTTGGGTATGAAAATTTGGGTATATTTTGGGTATGGGGAAAAACCGTGACTATTATTCGGTTATGATTTTGAATATGGTTATAGGGGCTCCAATCTATATCCGTACCCGAATCTGAAGTGAATAATATATAATATAATCATATGTATATATGTGTGTGTATGTGTGTATATATATATATATATTCATTATTCACTGAATCCATTACCTTGAGAATACAAAAATTGCATTATGTGAGTTGCATTTTCTGGCAAAGTTCAATAGTTTTGATATGAATCAAAATCTATGAGAATTTACTAGTATTTATGTGAGATATTAAGGATCAACCAACATTATCAATGTTTAACATTAATTTTTATGTTCCACCAGATCCATTAATTAAATCATTTTATACATCAAATATTTAATGACGAAATTAATATTTACTAAATTATTATGCGTCAATTGGGCGAATATATTTTTGTATTAACGAAGATAGATATAACCGTTAACCAATGAGAAATCCGTTATCTGGTGGGTATGCTTATGGATAATACCCGATGGTTAACTTCGGTTATGAATACAGTTAATTTTCGTGGTTATGGGGATTGATATAGAAGTTCCGTCCTCAAATCGATCCGTTGCCATCCCTAATTTCAAGATATCATTTAAAGATTGATTTCTACCGAAAATTCCGCATAGTCTCCCATGAAAATAGGACGTTAGTTTTCTAAAAGACAGCTTTATTGGCACTCAGTTTTTAGTTAAGTTCTCCCAATTTGATATTTGAACCAACTTTTTACAATAAAATGTAATTATAAGTACACCCAACCATATTCCAAAACTACCCTCACAACCCAACCTATATTACCAGGTAATATTGCACCCAACTCACACTACACCCCACCCCCACTGCGGCTTCAAACGTGAGACCAAAATTGCAATCAGATATATCTGGATGTTTCAATATCTTTAACAAACATGATTGCTCTGAAAATTTGGTTGGAGCAGGTTCAAGGCGCCAAAAGGTGTTTAATTTTAGCAGTGGTTTCAAAATAGATCGAAGGAAAAATCCAACAAGTTGGGTGAGGTTCGGCCCTGATTTGGCGAACCGCTAGCACTTGGTTCGGTGTCTTCTTCCGAATATACTTGAAGATTTTTATTAAGGATAAATCTACATATAATTAGTAAAACATATATATTCCCGTGGCATTCTTATTTATTGAATCATAAGGTTCTTGAAATTTATTTTAAAACTTATCTTCCACTAGTATTTTTATTTTTGTCAAACTTCCACAGTTCCACTAGTATTTTTAGGATAATGTTATTTACACACTCATTTTTACCTTTCGAACACCCTTATTCTTTTTTTTTGCCATTAATCTTCTTTAATTCATTCGATTCAACCACCGAACATTGAGGAAGATGTGTGAGAAATAAAAATGAGTGTGTGGATAACACTACCTATTTTTATTGATTTAAGTAGAGATTGTTTTCTTATCAAAACATGCAGAGTTTTGAAACTTGCTAAAAAATATACCAACTCTCTTTTCTTAATAATTACTAGCAATGTTCACACATGCAATGAATGTGCTTTGAAGAAAAAAGAAGGGAGTGAGAGAGTGTCAAAACAGATTTGAATCATTATAATGCCCTGATTTTTTAAGCAAATATTACAACTCTTTAGCATTTAAAGGCTATAATAGTTATGCGACCCTATTTGGTTGACAAATAGAATTATCTTAATATATTCTAGCATTTGTCTACACACTTTGTGTGTATGAACACATTTGTTTAGAAAATGAGAAGGAGAGAGGGGAGAGAGGGAGAACGTGGGCAGAGTGGGAGGTTTTTTTTTTAATTTTTTTTAGAGGTATTTTAACATCACCTGTAGGTGAGGTTTCAATAAAAAAAAGTAAAATTTGGAATTGTGAATTACATTATTGCCCACCATTTTTTTTGTGTGATAGAAGACTAAGTAGTCTTTTCACCCTCTTTTGGTTGACAAAGAGAGTTTCATTAATTAATAGAGATACATGCACACACATAACAGATACCCATACATATTGTGTTAATAATTTCATTTCATTTTGTTTTGTACTAGAAAGTGTTGATTATCCTCATTTTATATTTTTCATTATTTTATTTTAATGTAGGGCTAAAAACATTTTACACCCTTATATAAATTTGTGGTGGTTTTCAAAATAGGGTAACAAGGTTTAACTTAAAGTTTTGAAATTGTATAATTATACACCTTTTTGTCTCTTTGAATAGACAATCATCCACATTATTGATGAGATTTTTTCATTTTTTATTAAGGTAGTACAAATATGACTTACATGTTAGACCATATATATATATAGGAGTCTGAAGCTCATCATGTCACATATATAATAAATTATTATACAATCAATTTAACCGAAAACACAAATTCATACAATTTTAAAACTTTAAAGTGCAATATGAAAAAAATTAAAACTTCATGGCGAATATTTAAAAACCTAGGCAAATTAAGAGACAGTAAAAATGTACTTAAACTCTTTTATACAAGTAGGGATAGTTTGAAACAAACTCAAACGCTGTTCCCGTCCTCACCTCACTGAATCTTTGAACCATTCAAACCCTAAAGTACGTAACACGGACATTCTTTCAACAAACCGGTAAAAACCAGATGAAACCCTAAAAATCATCATCACAATGGAAACAAGATCGGCTGCCAAGAAAAGAGAGCTTCTGATCTTGTACAACCAAAACGATCAAATTGATGACGACAATAGTAGCAGAAGCACAAGCATTGGCCGGATCACAATGGAAACAAGATCTGCTGCCAAGAAAAGAAAGCTTCTCATTTTCTACAACCAAAACGATCAAATCGACGATGACAAGAGCAGCAGATGCAGAAGCATTGACCGAATAAGTGACCTCCCGGACGCGGTTCTCCACCACATCCTCTTCCTCCTACCCATCAAAACCGTCGCCCAAACCAGCGTCTTATCAAAACGGTGGCGTGATATCTGGTCCTCATTCCCTGACCTAGACTTCACCACTTTAAACCCGAATATCATAATATCCTCTACCACCACCGGAAGATCGCATTCATTATCAAGGCCAAACTCTCAAAATTCTAAAGAAGCCGACTTCATAAGGCAAGTCCTAACCCTCCGCGACAAGCACTCTGGTATTCGGATCCTCAGATTTCGTTCTCGGTTGAGTTTCTCTCGCCTTAATGGCCTGATCCGCCTCGCCATCCGGCGCAATGTGCAGGAGCTGGACGTGGATGTAGCCACCGAGGATTACTTCAACTTCCCTCGATGTGTGATTGCCAGTGAGTCTTTACGAGTTTTCAAAATGAAATCTCTTGACCCTGGTTTCAGATTGCCCCCTTCATCTGTGATGACCAGTGGATTTAAATCCCTCCAATCACTGTCGCTTTCGCGCATTATTTTAAACAACCAGCCTTCTCTCTCGGATATGTTCACCGACTCTTCTTTCCCTATGCTCAAGAAACTGAGCCTGGATGCCTGTTTCGGGTTGAAACACCTTCTGGTTGGGTGCCGGGCGATTGAGGATTTAACCTTGGAAAACTGTTTTCAGCTTCAAGGGTTGGATGTTTCGGGTGGGAAATTGGAGAGGTTGAAAATTGGGAGTTGTTTTGATGTTTATGTTGTTAAGAGTTGGGTGAAGATTAATGCACCGAGACTTAGAATTATTCTTTGGAAACATAATGCTATTACTGATAGTTGTTCTATAGAGAATTTGAGTTCTCTGCAAGAGGCTTACGTTGGTTTCTTTCGTGTGCGGGAAGATATTAGTGTGGCAAAGCTTCATAGTGTGTCCAATCTTTTTATGGGACTCTCTCATGCCCATTGCTTGACACTTGAAAGCCAATGCATTGAGGTACTTTAATTTTAAGTAACATTCTTTTGCTAGATATTCCGTTCTATGACAAAACCATTAAAGCTCAAATTGATAGTCTGACAACAAAAGTGGCAAGAAAGCTTTAAATATCTAACCGTTAATCATGTTAGCTTTTTTCTAAATGTGTGGTTTAGATTCATAACTTGGTAACATCATTTGACAAGAGAATATTATCTTGTAAATGCGTGTGACATTGCTAACTTTATATGGTCATCAGTCTAGGTGGCATTTTCAGTGCGGGGCATGACTTATATGGTTAGTCTTTTGTTGTTTGCAGATTCTATCAAACAGTAATTATTTTGCAGTTTATCTAAATCCCTTTCACAATCTCAAATCTTTGGAGCTGCATACGTGTTTCAACAAGAATAATGTCCCAGGATTGGCGTGCATATTCAAGAGTTCTCCCATGCTCCACACACTGATTCTCAACATTATAAATGATTACAAGACTGTAAGGAAAGTAAGTGTTACAAATGAGATTATTTCGTTTATGTTTTTCTATTATGTTCTTAATTAATTTAATTTGGTTTCTCATTTGTATGCATATCTAGCAATGGAATAAGGATATGTGGGAAATGTCCAACTCGGAGGAAGAAAAGTACTGGGAATCTCAAACCCAAATCTTGAAGCCCTTCCTACAAAACCTTAAGGTGGTAAAGATTCATGGGTTTTTAGAGTACGAGAATGAAGTTAGTCTAGCCAAGTTCTTGCTAAAGCATGGAAAGGCCTTGGAAGAAATGATTCTGTGCACTGGACACTGCAAAGCTAGATATTCTCTCCAGCGACAAAAGATTAGGTCACAGATGATGGGATTTTCTTGGGCGTCTTCTAGTGCTAAAATTGCCTTTCATTGAACTTAAATTTGTACTACCTTTTTTTAATAATTTTTTTTTATGGAATTGTACTACCTTATTTTGCTTCTTCAGTTCTTTTTCTGAATATATATATATATATATATATATAAGCACTTTTCCTTAATAATTAATGTCTTCTTTTTCACTTTATTAGGATAAATTTGGATGGACCGTTAACCATTTTCTCTTGCTTCATTTTGAGGAGCAGTAAGCTGCATCCAAAATATCGTTGGTTATAACGTGTGTTTATTTCTCAGCTCATATTATAAGACCTGTGAAAAATGTATTACGTGACAAATGTTTCAAAGTGCACACAAAATTTCTCCATTCGATTAAAGTCTACAATGAAATATACATTAACTAGAACTACGGAATCGCAAGAAATGTTTAAAATTCAATCAGTACAAGAAGGACACTTGTTTTTCTTGTGGATAGCTTCGACGTTCCTCCTAATTTCCTAAGCAGCCAGTACTAGATATTGGGGCATGTGATGTGGACAATATATCCAATTTGACATGTGACAACGGCTATAAATTTAAAGAACTGTTGTGAGATGTCATAAGAAGACTAAATATATTCATTAATTCTCATTTTTTTTTAAATTTATTTTAAAGATGACTAGCTGGTTGTTTTGTAAATATTCGAATAATACCACCATACGTTTTCAGAAGTCAAAAAGACTTACAGAAATATTTCAATCTTTTTCTAATCATCACGTACGATTCACTAATCGAAGAGAGTTTAAATTTGAGAAGTGCCATCATATATATTCGATTCACTGAATTATACATTTTTTTTTTTTTTTTGGGGAACAACACTGTGAATGATACTTTATATTATATTATTATGCAAGTGCTGGCCTACATAAGTATATTAATTCCTTCGGATGTACAGTAGACAAAAAATATATTTTTTATCATATACGGAAGTTTCTTGGTCTTAGTACTCATCGGTCATCACGTCTAGAGTTATTTTAGTTGACAAAAAATTTTCGATACTATTTATTTTAACGAAAAATTATATTTTTATACTAAAAAATAAATCATGATACTATTTGCTTTACTTTTTATTTTTTCTTTATTATTAAAACTAAAAAATTTCAAGCATTTTCATTAGTTTTCCATTTATTTATTTTATTCGAAATATTGTCGCATAATATCATTGTTCATTCAAATTATGATACATGTATTTATTTTTTGTTATGTATGCCTAGAAATGTCATAAAAATATAGAAAATTCATCATATACGCATATTATAACATATAAAATAATTTAGTATATAATAAGTTTTCGAGTACATATAAAAATTACTCCATTCGATCGTAATGCATGATTTGTGGGATAGCCACATCTAAAGTCAAAAGGCTTAATGAGAAAGAAAATGTGCCCTTGGAAATTTCTGGATCATCTTTTTCTATATACTTATTTAAATAAACGAGAGAAAATGTGGAACAAGAAAAATAATTTAAAATTCTTTAAGAGTTGAGACAATTCTTTCGCCAAAGCGAAGAGTACTCTATGATCATCCAACGACAGCTGTGGCATCTTAACATGACACGGCTGCGTGGCTATGGCACCTTCGTGAAATTCATTTTTAACGGGTACATACCAACATAACCAAATACTTTAGTGATCTAATACGGTGATAGACAAGTTCTTAAACAAGAATCAGTAAACCCAAAGCAGCGGCAGCCTGCATTGTTTGCATGCTCCTCGTGCGACAGATATATTAAAAATGCAGTCTTTAATTTAAAAAATACCAGTTTTGATCCTTGTAATATAATATATATGGCTTTACATTTGCTTTCCTGCCGGTATAGCTCATGTGAAATGAAACTTTTTGTAGTAACGAGATCAAAGATCAGAATTCAGAAAATTGGTCCGTGGAGAGTCCACTTTTTTTTTTTTTTTTTTATTTTTTTTAGAAAACCTCAGCAGTACGAGGGGAATAGAATCCGCTCTCTTATAGAGTACATTTGGCATTTATCAAGACAAATTTCAATATAACATTTCAGCATACTTATTGGAAAATCAATATGACAACAACTAATTTAGATCACAAATATAATTACTCATGTATTTGGTTATATGATTTTTCTAATGAAGTTGTACTTTGGCTTAATTTTGATATGTATGATTTAAGAATCTGTAGAAATTCTTCTATGTTCAAAAAGAAAGAATTGATATACAAACAAGAATATTTATCAAGTCCAAGAATTACAACTAAAAGAAGGTGTTATTTCTCTGTATTTTCCAAATTTGACTTTTTCTGGACGAATGACGTTGAAAGTAAAACCATGAAATAAAAACCATGCACCTAACCCAAGTAAAAGTAAAACTTCTCCTTGATCAACTAACAAATCAAAATTGATCAAGAAATTAGGGTCTCTTGTTATCATCACTAAACTCCTCTTGCATGGCCTGCTCAAGCCAAGTCCAAGACTCTTCCATCAACTCAGGACTCAGTCTGAACATCAAAACGCAAAACTCCATCTGGTTCAGAGCACCATCACCGTCCATGTCACCTTCCCTCACCATGCTCACAAGCTCATCTTCTCTAAAGTTCTGCAGACCGAGCAGGGCAGAGTTCCTCCGCAAGCTCTCCAGCGTAATGACCCCTTTGTCCTTGTCCATCAACAGCTGAAACCCGTTGCACAGCTCTCTTATCAGCCCCTTGCCGCCGAGCTTATCCGCCATCACCGGCAGCAAGTCTTCAAAATCGTCAGCAGCCCTCTTTCCAACTCCTGCCATTGGTGATGATTGATAATCTTGTGGGATTAAAAATGAGATAAGCTCTTTCTCTGATGTATTGGGTGTTGGAGAGAGAAATGAGATGTGGGGTTTTGGTTGTGTGAGGAAAACATGGAAGGGGAGCGGAGGGATTTATATTATAAAAGACAAGGGAAGGAGGGTGGAAATTGGAAAGGGGTTCTTGGAAAGAGGAGAGTTGTGGTCTCCCTACGGATGACAGCAATGGAACAGTGGATAAATTGCTGGTCCGCTTTGATTCTATGCAACCGCAAGGGCCAGCAGTTGCCTCCTCTATTTCTCAGAAACTTGTCAAGGGTAATTCTGTCATTGTACAAAGTTGGTGCCATTCTTTCTCGAAAATTTTTATTCAACCAATTATCTTATCATCACACCCCACGTAAATATTTTCACCATTGAATTCTCCATTTGGATCCTATATTAATTTGAAAAGTAAAAGTAAATTAAAAGTACATGAATCCATATATCTGCCCCCCACCTTGATGCCCACCACTATCCGACGTCCCCTTCATTGACGTCGGTGAATCTCTTGTCGTTAGCGTTTCTTAACCACACCTTCTTCTCGTCCATATTTTCTCCCTCCTCTATTTCTCACTCTCTTCAACCATAACGCCGACATCGGAGGCCTCTAAAGTTTCCGAGTGGTTCAAAGTCGGTGATGTGGAGAACCACAAGTGCCTCTAGAATGGAGAAGGGAAAGTGGAGTCATCGACAGGAAGGTGTTGAGACAAAGAGGGATCATTTTTGTTGTATGTACATTTTAAAGTCAAAACTAGTGAAAACCGAATGGGGTGGCATGGAACGCGGTTGTGATGCTAAAAGAATTGGATTTGAAGTTTCCATGGAGAATCACCCGTGAATCCTCCATTGGTTTGAGGTGGAAGAGAACTACTCGTGTGCAAAGAGATTTTGGTTTTGTTTCTTCATTTTTCAGTTTTAATCAAATGGTGAATTAGAAATTAAAAAATAATAATAATAAATTTTTTTGTGTTCGGGTAGAAACAGGTTGTTGGGTTCCAGTAGAAAATTAGAAATTCCCTTCTCTCACTTCTCTCCCGCCTATTAGGGGGCATTGTTTCAGTTTTTATACTTTTGAAGAAACTTTTGGGGCATTTTGTGCTTTCTAAAAAAAAAAAGAGTTTAAGAATTTATGATTATTAAGGAATAAGAGGGTTCAAACCTATTACAATAACGTAGAGAAGGGGAATTTCGAATTGAGGATGTGTTGGTGGAAATTTAATATCCTATCTACTAGGATATTTGTATTTGGAATTTACTTACATTGACTCCATATAGGTGTATTTCTTTATGCAGTCAAACGTGATTAGTATATTTTAACCTTACAAATTTCATAATCTATTCGTTTTTTTTTTAATAATCTAAAGATAAATCATCTCTACAAAAAAAATAATCAAATAAAATATTAATTATTTGCTCATTCGTACGTATAAACAAATAGATGTTTCATCACAAAAATATTACATTGTTTGATGCATAAGCGCGCACACATACACACACATATATATATAAATGACTAAATGATGATCTATTTGATTGAAATTTTACAGAAATGATGTGTAAATAATAATTAAGATAATAAATTGTACTAACCATGAAATGGCGGCGGTTAAAATATGTTAATCCCATTTGCAACGGACAAGGAGGGGCACATGCGATGGACATCATCAGTAGTTTCCCTTGGAATTTACCTCTAATTTTGACTTTCACCACTTGTTAGATGACTTAGACTTCAGATTATGAGCCCTTTGACTTTCACCACATTGGATGGAAGTTGGTTTGCATAACTTAACTAGTTTTGAACATGTTCACATGCAATGAACTTGAAAAGTTGGTCAAGGGCTGAAAAAAAAAAAAAAAAAAAAAAACCAACCTCTTTTCTGGTTGGCCTTAAGGTCGGTCGTTCTCTTTCCCGGAAAATATACGTGCCAAAAAGTGTTACTTATAGATATGAAACATATTCCATTCAAATAGGCTTTAATTTGTTCAACATATAAGAAATGGTCGCACGTTGGTGTTAAGAATCTCATCCCACTTTGCTTAGTTTAGAAGGTTGTTCTACACCTGCAACTTATTATCAGCAAGACTATAAAATATTGAAAGGTAGTATGTGGAAAATAGAGAATAACTTTAGGTGCGTTTGTTGAACCGAACTAATTCGGACTGGATTAACTTTAGAGTACTAGCTGGACTTGCTTAGATTAAACTAAGCTGGACTAACTTAGTGAAGCGTTTGGTGTAGTATTAGATTAAGAACTAAAATAATAAAAATAATAATATTTAATTCTATCTTTTACATTTTATTTCTTTTTCTTTTTTTCTTTTACCTTTCTAGAACACCCTCTCTCTCTTGAATGCTCTTCATTTTTTACTTCTCTGTCCAACTGCTCTCTGACTCTCTCTTTTTACTTTCTCCCTCATCACCAAATTCCATTCTTTTTCACCACTTTCTCCCTCATCATCAAATTCCAGTTCTTTTTCATTCATTCTAAAAAAAAGCTTATGATTTGTCATATAGGTTTTTTTTTCTAGATTTTTCACAAGCTTCTGGATTTCATTTGGGTTTTGGCAGATTGGTATTTTTTGTTTCTGGCTTTTGGTTGGCATTGTGGAGTTTGCCGACGATGTCCCGACGGATGAAGGTGATGGTCAAGAGCGATATTGGGAGTTGGGGAAGCCAAGGATCTGAGTAGAGGAGAAGCACTGCCTTTCAACAGCAATCTCGACGATAAACTCTAGATGTGCACGAGAAAAGCAGATATGAGGTCTCATGATTCTAGGTTCTAGGCAAGGAGTGAGGGAGAGAGTAGGAGAGAGTGAATAGAGAGTAGAGAGAGGCAGTTCTTAGCTAGTCCCATGGTTTTCGGAGACTCCCGCTAAGAACCTTTAGTGATGTCTTTAGTCTAGGCGAGTCCGGGCTAATCTCATTAACACTAGTCTCGCATAATATCAAACACAGGACTAGACTAATAGTTAGTCCAGTCTAGTCCAATGACACTTAGTGAGGGCAAACAAACACCTCCTTACATTATTGTGAATATAATATGTTTCGTATTAATAATACAAATATTATATGAATAATTCGATGTCAGGATAACGTTAAGTTTACCCATTGACGTCCTCGTGAAAATGAGATTGTAATTACCTCCTTTCCATTTTTATCTACTAGAGAATTCATGTATAGCTTCCCACTTTTTGGGTAAAGAAGTAAAAGGTTGATGATTCTTGGGAATATTTTTGCACATTACCCTCAAGTGGTGCTTACTACTTTATTTATCACCGTTAATAATAAGTAAAGCGATGAACATTCCCACAATTTGAGAGCGATAAGCAAAAATGCACTTTGACTCTAGCACTTACACGAGCTATTACTTTAGCAAGTATAAAATTGTATCTCCATCATACCTCATAATATTATATTCAACAGTTCTTGTGTATAATTTGTACACATGTTGCCTGTTGCCGTTTATGCGAGAAACAATAATTGAAAGAAAAAAAAAAAAAAAAAAACAAACAAACAAATAATACTGAGTAGCCCATTGCTCTTTGGGGTATATGTATGTGTCTTAGACATGGGTATGACTTTCCTCATCCACCACATACTCACTTTTTTGGCCTGCCACAGTTGTTACCTGTTCTTCCTCTTCTGTTTCCTTACAATCCACGTTCAGACCGTGGGAGGCCTACTCATCTCGTTATTCACTGCTCTTACAAAGCTTCTAGCAGTCCAAATATCAAAACTTCAATTTTATTAATCTTTCACTACTTAAGTTTTTAGGTAAGCAGTTGAGCCTAATTGAATTGACATAAGAGCTTAGAGAAGATGGCTCACAACTACACCAAGTTATGTGACTCATTAGTTGCGTAACGTCTACGTGAGCTTTAGAGAAGAGAGAAGAACAGTACTAAGAGCTCGTGTACTTATTAGTAATGGAAATGAAAAGAAAACGAATAGGTGTTAATCCAATTCCCTTTCCTTACTTTTTCTTTTTTCGAAATTATCAAATTCCCATTTCCTGAGGACTTGTTGAGGAGAAACCTAGAGACAACTAAAATACTTAGCGAGAACCTTCAAGTTCCATAGAGCATCCAAAGAGTAGTCCTTGTTGGTCTAATCTCCTCCTGGTACTATGTGTAGAGGACAATGCGAGTAGACACTGATCCAACTATGTGTAGAGGACAATGCGAGTAGACATTGATCCAAAGACTTCAGAACAGGTATAAGTTCTTTACCTACTTGTGGACACATACAGTTTGATATATAAGGTAGTACTCCTTGAGTTACTTGGTTCACTTAATTAGCTGCCATTATGTATCACAGAAAAGCGTGTACGAAAAAACACAATTCCCATCAGTTTTAGCTCATGATTTTATAAAGAGGTGTTTGTTGATTTGTCTCTTGAACTTGTATGCAGTTGTCAATTTCCCCTTGAACTTTAATTTTAGCCGATTACCCCATTGAACTTTTTTAATTAGCCAATTTTCCCCTTGAACTTGAATTTTAGCCGATTACCCCCTTGAACTTTTATAAATAGCCAATTCCCCCTGGCGTTAGATTTTAAAAAACTTTCATTCAGTTTTTCATCCTTTTTGCCCTCATATAGTTGTCATGTGTTGTTTCCGCGATCAAGATGGATGGAAAATTGGCTATTTACAAAAGTTCAAGGGGGTAATCGGCTACAATTATAGTTCAAGGGAGAAATTGCTTAATTATAAAAGTTCAAGGGGGTAATCGACTAAAATTAAAGTTCAGGGAGGAAATTGGCAGCTCCATACAAGTTCAGGGAGTAAATCGACACATATGCCTTTTATATATATAAAAAAAAAAAAAATGGTGTTCTTCCTCTAGCTCTTTCCATGCTTCTGTCAGTCTAAATGTCATACCTAATTGAACCTTCGCAGGTATTCATTTGATTCACGCTCACTTGCCGAAATAATAAAAATTATATGAAGACCAAAGAGGAAGTCCTCCCATATTATACATTTACACATTCCCAAATTCTAATTTCGTAACTTTTATCGACCTTCTGGCAAACTAATGGTGACTATATTGGATAAACTTGTAGAAGTTTGAGAAGAGGAATTAGCAACACTGGAATTCCTGTGTTGCAAAAGCAGGTGCTTTGTAGGTTGGAAGAGATGCAGCAGTGCGAATTATAGAAGACATTGTTGGTCCATCTCTGGAGCTTCTTGAACACACAAAACCCTACATGGATACACTAAAGCTTCACCAGGCCAGCATGTTTCCCTTACGGATTTGTTAATCACCTCCATTCCATGAGAGAATATGAGATCAATCTACTAACGAGGACATAATTGTGACTGTGCTAACCTCATTTCATCCGATCTTGAACTCCCTTTTCTGTAAACAAAGTAGTTTAGAATACCGCATTTCCCAAACAAAACAAAACCCCTCCCTATTGACTAACTAGCTAACAGTTTCTTCTAACATATAATTAACTGATCTACAATGTGTTCATATATTGCTCTAAAGTATGTAATGATTTAAGAATCGACAGACAAAAAGAAGCCCAGTCAAATAAATGAGTATGAGGAATAAATAAGTGTTTTACTTTTGAAAACGCACCTCAATCAGGCCAACATATGTCGCAAAGCACGATCATTTTCTGAAATAATAATAGTTGTACGTGAAGCACGATTGAAGCCTTGAAGTTACGACACATTCACATAAGAATTGTGAAGTTCAAAGACGAAGGTTCTCTAATAAGTACAAATCTCAAAATTCAAACTCATTTAACGGTGATAAATAAGGTGGTGAACATACACCACACTAAATGGTAGGTAAGCAAAAATGCACTCTATATGGGAGCATTTTTACTCACCAGCATTTAGTGTGGTATATACTCACCACCCTATTTATCACCGTTAGATGAGTTTGACTTAGTTATATGAGTGAATCGACGATTAGTAATATCGAAGAAACCCCATTACCCCTATTGAGCAATTCCCAGGTTCATGCTGCCCACGATGTCAGACGTGCTTGTTGACTTGTTCTTTTGTACAGACTAAGCTTCACGCTAGGCAATAATGTGTCAGAGGGATGTTCGAAGCTCTGCCTCAAAATGTCCACTCCAAATATTAAGGTGAAGGATTCCACTTTCCATTGGTGCAGCAGTTGTGGCAATCATTGCAGAAGCTGATACTGATGCGTTAGACGACCAGATAACTAGTTTTATAGTCATCCTATCCAACACCACAAGATTTCCATCACCGCTAAGCTTTAAAACACCCGGAGAATCAAGTGGGAACTCTCTGTTGCCAACCCATACTTTCGAGTTCTTTGGGATTGTGTTATACCATATAACAAGGTGGAAATTTCTCTTAATTTCCAAAATCTAGGGAAAGTACGTACCCAGCATCATGTGTTCTAAACTTGTAAAAATATTTTAGTCCAAAATGTCAGTAATGACAGCAATTTAATTGACAATCTGAGTCCACCAATCATTTGAAGTAATGGAAATTTTTTTGTTGTGCCAGAAATACGAGTGGTACAATGAAAAATATACCTATTATCACCTCCTGCTGTCAGTAGTGACATCAATTTAATAAAGACAATCCGAGTCCGCCAGCCTCATAAGTTCAAGGTGAGTTTGATCACCTTCCACTGTGGCACAAAAAACATCAAATATACCTATTATTACAGGCTCGTGTTTACATATACGGAAAGGAAAGAGAATGGCTGGAATGAGACTTATTCCAATTCCGAATTACTCAAAATTTGTTTATCAACCAAAGTAGAATGAACAGTAGTACGGGTCCCACATAAAATTAGGAGTCCAAATTTTGATATTGAAGAAATTGAATTCCGGAGGGAGAAGGTCGGGTTGGACAAGGGTGAATCGATATCAAATTTTTCATACCCAAATTACCTACATATATTTTCTGGAAACACCAAAATTCTCATAAGCTATTTGGACCGGAAATTGATTTTGGAGGTGGTTTTATGTGATTTTACAGTAAGAAGAATTTGAGAGATTGAAAGAAAGATACCGACTTGAATTCTTACGTCTATTCTCACAAACGCCATCAAATGTTGACGTATGTTTTTACCATGGTCATCGAAGGACTTCGAGCGGGTCAAAGTCAAAGAGGTTAGGGTTTTACTAAGATTGCATTCACACAGATAACACAAGGGATTTGAGTAGTTCACCTACATCCACTGGCCATGTGGCAATAGTGAGTCCTAGTGAGGAAAAATATGTGTAAACGGTTGAAATATTTAACATCATCGGTACCTATGAGAAAATAGAGTTTAAATATTCTAATCACATTTCAACTAATATCGAGACATTTTGTGACCAAACCCCACAATTGACGAATTGTGCAAATGATAACCAAGTTGGGGACAATATCAATGTTGTTGGAAGAATGCATTTTTGGCCCATCTTTCTGATAATTTCACAAACGTTATAGGCACAATCTTCCTTTCAAGATTTTTCTTGACAAAGTGTCGATCAATGGTATAGACACAATCTTTCCTTTCAAGATTTCTTTGACAAAGTGTTGATCAACCTTCACATTGTTTGATCATGTTGTATCGGATTCTCAGCTATCTACCTTGAAGATTTATTGTCACAATATAACTCCATGGTTTCATTTGGTTCAAAACGAAAACACCTCAAAAGTTTACGTAACTAAAGATGTTCACATATTTCGTGTGCCATATCTCTCTACTTAGCTTCCGCATATGACATTGACACCATTTTCTGCTTCTTACTACACCACGTAACCAAATTATGTCCAACAAACGTAAAAATTAAAATACTCAAATGTAGACCGTCAGTCAGTAACATTGTCAGCCCCCTCAACCTTTAAATGCTCATGTTTTCCATAAAGTATTTCTTACTGGGTGCAAACTTCAAATAAGGGCGGAGCCATGAATGGACCATAATGGTCCTGGACCTACCTAACATTTTTTTTCCATTGGAAAAGAAATTAGAGTTATCCTTCTGTTTTCCATAGATTTTTCATGGGATTAGGGCCCCAACCAAAGAGAGAGAGAGGAAGTAGGTGAGAGAGAGCTGGTTCTCCTGAGTTTAAACCCTTTCACATGGTGCTGGTTCTCCTAGAGTTTAAACATTTTCACTCCATTTCATCAGTACGTTACGGTCAGTTGTAGCATTGTTGCAGAGCAGGGGTTGTTGGTGGTGTTGTAGCGTTTTCTTTAGATATGTAATAAGCCGCTCCTAACCCGAAATTCTGGCTCGGCCATTGACTTCAGATATGCCAAAATTTGCATTACCACAGGCATGTGATCTTCACTCGGTGAGTGCATAAACTAACTTACAACACTTGCAGTATATGCAATATCTGGACGAACATGAGATGTATAAATTTATCTCTCCACAAGGACTGCACACAAGACCTACTTGCAACAAAATACTTGCTTAAGCGCCGCAACTGGAATGATGACAACTAGCAGACGAGCAAGACTGCCAAGACTGCAAACGGCAAACAGCTGCAACAGAACATGCTGTACCAAGTGTATAAAAAGAACTGTGCCCACGGTAGAAACTACAGCATATGCCGTACCAAGACAGCAAACAGATGGAATAGAATACGGTAGACCAGTAAAGCATGCAGCAGCAGTAAAGCACGGACAGCAACCAGACAATTTTACTGACTGCAACCGGTCAACTTGCCACTGACAGCAAGAATTCACGAAAAAAAAATCCAAAAAATTAAAGTAAGAATTAACGCTGCAATAGGCCAAAAACACACAATCCAAGATGCAATCCAGGTAGCAGCAAAATATCCACACGGCATAGCCACAAGCCAATACACCGGACAACCAAGATTGCTGTAGTTGTTAGATACCAATTACATAACAGCTGTAGTAAAGCAACTGAACTCGGTACACAAGCAGCACGGCGCAAAAAATGATACTGCTACTAACACGCACCAATTATATACGGAACGAAACCAAGTCTTGATGCCAATACGTCAAATACTTTGTTACTTTATTCTCTTGGATTTACAATATATATAGATACATGACATATTTTATAAGGAAAGTAATTACAAAAGATAAGGATACTAAATCCTAAAAATTACAAATCATAATCCAACCTAAAATAGAACTGCATAAATATTTACAATTATGACTGAAATCAACGTAAACATGTAATGGCTAGACCTATAGTCATTTGGTCATTTGAATTGAGATTCTCTGTTGATCTCTGTGTTCAGAGTCAACAGACTTATAAACTGAACCACTCAATTTAAATCATGCAACCTCCATTAGCTCATCTCACTGACCCACTTGGGCCACTTCACACAAAATCAAGCTTTTGAACGGCCCATATCTCTTTAGCAACAACTCTTCAAAGCTGAAAACAACAAATTTCTCACAGAAATAGCAGAGAAGTCAGCAGTATTAGCGATCGCATATATACACGAAAGAAAACTTGTGTTGTACCATGTGCCAACAACCTTGTTGGTATATGCTACAATTTGATTCATCCCAAAAATCCTCCATCTTCTTTTAAAATGGTATTGTAGAGAACGCTGTCGGAATAGGCATGTCTAGGAATCTAGAAGAAACAAATATCAAGTACAGGTTCCATGATTGAATCTTCTTAAAATTGTTGGGAAAATTACAAGAAAATTGTAATATTCTTCTAAGAAGCACGTAGACAATTATAATTTATTTAATATTAAAAACGAACCAACAAGTACTAATTTCCACATGGTGAAACAATACATTGATTAGGAAAGTAACTAACAGTACACCAAAGTTCTAGCATTGACCAAAAGAAAAATATTACACTTAACAAGCAAGGAGACATTCTTACACAGTTTTTAGTTCAGAGAAAAGGAAACAGTAAATATCGAACCTCTATCGAGCTTCTGGCAAACTAATGGTGACTACATTATTGGAAAAACTTTTAGGTGCTTGAGAAGAAGAACCAACAGCGCTGTACTTCCTGTTTGCTGAAAAAACAGGTTTATTGATATGTGGAAGTGATGTAGCTTCATTGGCCAGCATAAGAACTACAGAAGACATTGTTGGTCGATCAGTTGGAGCATCTTGGACACACAAAAACCCTACATAGATACATCTCAGAGCTTCATCGGGCCGGCATGTTTCCCTTATTGATTCATCAATCACCTCCATTATTCTACCTTCATTCCATAATTCCCATGCCTGTAGGTTTAGCATATAAACAAACCCATCAATCTTGCAAGGTTTAAAATATAAGGAATATGAAGTAGGGGTTCTATTACTTACCCATCCAGCAAGAGAAAATGGATCTTCAAAACAATAAAAAGCAGAATTCTTCCTTCCACTTACAATCTCTAAGAGCAACACTCCGAAGCTAAACACATCCAATTTCTCTGAAAAATAGCCATACATTGCATACTCTGGTGACATGTAGCCGCTGCATGAATTAAAGGTAGATGAGTCAACAGCAGTAAGGGATTGCATAAGGTCTACGCAAAGGAAAGCATGCAACGTACTATGTGCCAACAACCCTATTTGTATTTGCTTCCATTTGATCGATCCCAAAAATCCTTGCCATTCCGAAGTCTGAGATTTTGGGGTTCAATGTTCCATCCAATAGAACATTACTTGCTTTGAGATCCCGGTGGATGATTTTCAATCTAGAGTACTTGTGGAGATAAAGTACTCCTTGAGCAACGCCTTCTATAATTTGAAAGCGTTTACCCCAATCCAGTTTTTCCTTTTGAGATGGATCTGATTGCCAAAAACCATGAGGGAAAATGGTTTTAGTGAAAATTCTTTAAAAGTTGGAAAAGATCTTGCAGAAGGATAATGAAATGTGATTTCCAAACAATATGAAAGAATTAATGTTAGAAGTGATGAGCATGTACCAAACAAAAATTTGTCCAAACTTCGATTGGGCATGAACTCGTAGATCAATATCATTTCTTCATCTTCAATACAGCAACCCAAGAGCCAAACGAGATTGGTATGTTGCAGCTTGGCTATAAGCTTCAACTCATTCATGAACTCCTGATGTCCTTGCCCTGACTTTCTTGACAGCCTTTTTATCGCTACTTCATTTTCAGTCAAAATCCCCTGTAGAGGATGAAAATTACCGCAATAAGAGAACCAATAGACTCGTTATGAAACCTAATTCAAACATTGTTAAACTTAATTCTAACCTTATTAAGCAATATGAAGAACAAATAGTGTACTAGCATTTAGTGCACATATTGGAAGGGTCACCTTATAAACAGGGCCAAATCCTCCCTCTCCGAGTTTATTAGATTCAGAGAAGTTGTTTGTAGCAGCTAATATACTCCTTAAACTGAAGAGTGGTAGTTCTGTTTCATTCCTTCCACCTCCAGCGCTAACATTTCTTACAACCTCCCTCATCCTTCCTCCGATGCTCCCTGTTTGAGACTTATTGTTAGAGCACCGTTTCTTTGGATAGAATCGGGTTTGCTAATTGGTGACTGCACATGTACGAGAGAGAGAGAGAGAGAGAGAGAGAGAGAGAGAGAGATGTTGTGTGTGTGTGATATCTATACCCCCATTTCTCAAAGTTTTCTTCCACAAGAAATAGCCAAAAATTATTGTCAGCGATCCTGCTATTGCCGAGACTATGGCTATTGCAAGCTGCTGAACATGACCCTTACCACCTGCAATGAAGAGAAATGGATCCCTTTAACAAATAAAATGATGGCCCCAAGTAATTTCCATTCCAGGCAAAATACATACACACAGAAAATAGAAAAAGAAACCAAACAAACATACCTTGATCAGAGCGGTGAACACGAATATACATGGTTTGCCCAAAACGATGATTCTCGACAAGATCCGTCAAGTTACCAAACCATGTCAAGCATCCTAGACCACCTTTTTCTGTCACCTTTGAATAGGCATAAGCTGTGCAAGAGCAGTTCTGAAGGCATTCAGATTTACATTCACTCATATTCCTATTTACAAAAATTATAGCATGATCTGGTAGTTTCATCTTCTCAAACATTGAAAACACTTGGCCTTTATCACATGCCAATGCCTTTTCCCGAACACAACCACCGGGCCAGTCCTCCATAGCCCATTGTTTTGTAAATTCGGTCCTGAAACCCTTCAAACACTTGCATTGTGACGAGAATGGATCACTGTTTTTATCACAGGCACCATGTGGACCACATCGAGCATAAAAGTCACATTTATTGGTAGGCTCTGCCCACTCTTCAATCCATGTCTTACTTTCATCAATGCAGCGCAGCAGATTAAGCTTGCCAGATGGACTCAAAACGGCCCTCAGTTTTATGGAGTTATCCGACGCACCAAAAGTAAAATAAATAGCCTCAGCATCGAAACTGTAAGCAATGTAAAAAAAGCCTCCACTTTGATTTCCATCACCACGGAACTTGAAAACACCCGGAGAATCAAGTGGGGATTCTCTGTTAGCAACCCATACTATTGGTGCCTTTGGCATTCTGCTGTACCAGACACCAAAGAAGTGTTTGGTAGAATTTTCAGGACTGAAGAAGCCTAATGTGAAGTTCCCTGCTGGAGAAATCATGGTCTGGTTTGGACCAACAGATTGCCCTGGTACTAAAGTTGCTTGGCTGGCACATGACGGCATAGTAAAGTATAAGAATGGTAATGTAACAAGACAAACTAAGAGCCACTCCATCTCCATCTCCAGTCAGGGACATAAAACAGAAGTAGCGGAATAAGAAGAAATTTGTTCAGAGAATGCCTCGGTCGCAAGCTATAATTTATACTAACCGAAATGGTTTAAATTTCACATCAATTCAGAAATGTGGATCATGCCTTGTACTCACTGAAATTATTAAATTTCACAGCAAATCAGAAATGTGGGTCATTTAGTCATTTAGCCATTCACACTCAGCTTGCTTAGTCTTAGTCTTAGTTGTATTGATTCATAGCTCATGACAACTGTAAGCATCTTACATGATGACTTAGTTTGAAATTGAATGGCTAGATTTAGTTTGAAATGATGTAAGGGAGAGAAGCTCCCTCCTTTCTCTCCAATGGCAACAAATACCACACTCTCATGTGTGCGTGAATGAATAAATGTGATGATGCAGTTATGTTAGACATTCCTCTGCAATATTCCCCTTCATCGTCTTCTTTCTCAGAAAAACCGAACACTGAGGTTGCATCGCTCAACACAGAAATCCATTCCAAAATTCAATCTAAAATCACCAAACTCTAACACTACGTCTTCTTTCTCGACGTGCATTTTCTATTTCTAGGAAAAATTAAGACTGAGGACTAATGCAAAGTTGCGAGCCAAGTCATAACGGACATGAATAGAGTAGGCATATGTGTTAGATTAGTACTAGCTAGGGTTTATATATATATGAGTTTAACTATAATTTCTAAAAACTTGCCCGATCATCAAGCGTTGGTGAATCTTCAACACTCCACGAACAATGCCTCTTTCCACTAACATTTTCTAACAACTCTCCAAAGATTAATATCCAATTTCTCAGAGGAATTAAATTAAGCAGTAATGGTGATCACATAAGGTTTAGTACTTGAACGAAAACATGTGCAATATATACTTACTATTTTCCAAATACCTTGTTGGCATATTTATGTGACAAGAAGAACCAAAAATAAGTACTGATTAATGAAAAATATCAGAAAGTATTCCTCTGTAGGCCTTCGGCTCCCACATTACCCATGGAAAAGAGCACAATCCAACATTATATTGAAATTGAGAAATTCTTACACGGTTTTTAGTTTAGAGAAAGGAAACACTAACAAACCATTATCGAGCTTCTGGCATACTAATGGTGACTGCATTATTGGAAAAACTTGTCGAATTTTGAGAAAAAGAAGAGCCAACATGACTGGACTTCCTCGGCGTTGAAAAGCAGGTTCTTTGATGGGTGGAAGTGATGTAGCTTCATTGTTTAGCATAAAAACTACAGAAGACATTGTTGGTCGATTAGCTGGAGCTTCTTGGACACACAAAATCCCTACATGGATATACTTCAGAGCTTCATCCAAACAGCATGTTTCCCTTACTGACTCATCAATCACCTCGATTCCTCTACCTTCTTTCCATAACTCCCATGCCTAATTTTAACATATAAACAAACCCATCAATCATGCATGACCATTCACTTTCTTGAGATTGAATCAAATCTGAAAAACATTACTTACCCATCCAGCAAGACTAAGCGGCTGTTCAAGACGATGAAAAGCAGAATTCCTCTTTCCACTTACAATCTCTAAGAGCAACACTCCAAAGCTAAACACATCCAGTTTCTCTGAAAAATGGCCGTAAAGTGCGTACTCAGGTGACATGTAGCCGCTGCACGAATCAAGGGTAGAGAAGTCAGCAACAAGCAAGTAATTGCATAAGGTTTACATATGAAGGAAAGCACTTACTATGTCCCAACAACCCTGTTTGTATTTGCCTCAGTTTGATCCATGCTGAAAATTTTTGCCATCCCGAAGTCTGAAATTTTGGGGTTCATTGTTCCATCCAACAGAACATTGCTTGCTTTTAGGTCCCTGTGAATGATTTTCAACCTGGAGTACTTGTGGATATAAAGTACTCCTTGAGCAACACCTTCTATAATTCGAAAGCGTGTACCCCAATCCAGTGTTGTATTTTTGGATGAATCTGATTACGCAAACCATGAAGAAGAATGATTTTAATGTTGTAAAAAGGTAATAAAAATGTGATGCCATGGAAGTCAACAATATGAAAGAATTAATGGTAGTAGTGATGAGCATATACCAAACAATAATTTGTCCAAACTTCTATTGGGCATGAACTCGTAGATCAATATCATTTCCTCCTCTTCAATGCAGCAACCCAAGAGCCTAACGAGGTTGTTATGTTGGAGCTTGGCTATAAGCTTTAACTCATTCATGAACTCCTGATGTCCTTGCCCTGACTTCCTTGACAGCCTTTTTATCGCTACTTCTTCATTTTCAGTCAAAATCCCCTGTAGAGGATGAAAAATTCCAGAATAAGAGAGCTGCTAGACTCCTTAACTAGGAAAATTTGGGACATTGTTAAGAAATATACAAAAGATATGACGAAGAACCATTAATGTACTAGCATTAAGAGCGCACAGTGGAAGGGTCACCTTATAAACAGGGCCAAACCCTCCCTCTCCAAGTTTATTAGCTTCAGAAAAGTTGTTTGTAGATGCGACTATACTCCTTAAACTGAAGAGTGGTAGTTCGCTATCATTCTTTCCACCTCCAAGGCTAACATTGCTTATAGCCTCACTCATACTTCCTCCTGCACTCCCTGTTTGAGTCTTATTATAAGAGCACCATTTGTTTGTGTGTTAATCGGTGCCTGCGTCTGTGTGTGTGTGTGTGTGTGTGTGAGAGAGAGAGAGAGAGAGAGTGAGAGTGAGAGTGAGAGAGAGATGGTGGCAGTGTGTGCAAACGTGCGGTACCTCTGCCTTCATTTCTCAAAGTTTTCTTCCACAATAAATAGCCAAATAATATTGTAAGCAATCCTGCTGTTGCTGAGACTAGTGTTATTACAAGGGACAGCTTATGAACATGACCCTTACCACCTGCAGTGAACAGAAAAGGTTCCAACTAATTATCGTTTTCTGAGTAACTTTTGCTGTATGCTAAGAATATTAATTGACACAGAAAACAGCGAAAGAAACCAAACAAACATACCTTGATCAGAGCGGTGAACACGAATATACATGTTTTGCCCAAGCCCATGATTCTCTACAAGATCCGTCAAGTCACCAAGCCATGTCAAGCATTTTACAGTACCTCCTTCTGTCACATTTGAATAGGCATAAGCTGTGCAAGAGCAGTTCCGAAGGCATTCATATGCACACTCACTCATACTCATATTTCCTAAAATAATAGCATGATCCGGTAGTTTCATCTTCTCAAACTTTGAAAACCCTTCCCCTTTATCACAAGTCAATGCCTTTTCCCGAACACAACTACCGGGCCATTCACCTGTAGCCCATTGTTTCTGAAATTCGGTCCTAAAACCTTTCAAACACTTGCATTGTGAGGAAAGGGGATCACCATTTTTATCACAGGCACCATATGGACCACATCTAGCATAATAGTCACATTTATTGATAGGCTCTCCCCATGCTTCAAACCATGTCTTACTTCTCTCCGTCCACAACAGTAGGTGGAACTGCCCAGTTGGACTCAAAACAGCCCTCAGCTTTACTGAACTATCCGACACACCAAAAGTAAAATAAATCTCATTAGCATCAAAACTGTACGCAACGTAAAAGAAGCCTCCGCTTTGATTTCGAAAGAATGTTTTTGACTCCTTGTCGAAGTATACAGCACTTCTCCAATACGTAGCATTTGCCTTCCAGGTTATTAGCTGCCTCTGAACTTTCGGATCAATGCCTAAGCTGAACATTCCGGTTGTGGATCATCAAGTGCTGCCCACGATGTCAGACGCGCTTGTTGACCTGTTATCTTGCTCAGGCTAAGCTTCACGCTAGGCAACAATGTGTCAGAGGGATGATCGAAGCTCTGCCACAAAATGTCTTCTCCAAGTTTTAGTTGAAGGTTTCCACTATCCATCAGTACAGCAGTTGTGGCATTCATTGCAGAAGCTGGTACCGATGCATTAGAAGACCAGATAACTAGTTTTTTAGTCATCCCATCTAACACCACAAGATTTCCATCACTGCTAAGCGTTAATACACCCGGAGAATCAAGTGGGAATTCTCTGTTGGCAACCCATACTTTCGGGGTCTTTGGGATTGTGTTGTACCATATACCAAGGAAGAATTTCTTCGAATTTCCGGGACTAAAGAAGCCTAATGCAAATGTTCCACTGGAAGAAATCAAGGTCTGGTCTGTGCTGATAGATTCTCCCGGTACTAAATTGTCAAGGCTTGTACAAACAGATAGGAGAAACATAAAAGCACAAAGAAGAAGCCACCCCATTCAGATACAGAGATACAAAGGAGGAAGAAGAAGTGTTCAACAATATTTGTCCCAACAACTAGTGAAAGTGCGCACCCTATTGCAAATGCGCATCATGAACAACCTTAATTTCATCAAATATTTAAGTCCAAATGTCGGTAGTGACGGCAATTTAATAGACAATGTGAGTCCACATGTACTTTTTCACGGTCCCCTTTGGCCAGCCAGCCACTTATTAGGTTCAAAGTGAGTATGATCACCTTCCACTGTGGCGCAAAAAAGCATCAAATATACCTATTAAGTATTACCTACCTACTAAGTCGAGAGATTGTCTCACGCCACTGATTTATCAGGTGTGGCACAAAAAAAGCATCAAATATACCTTTTACCTACCCACTAAGTCGAGAAATTGTCTCACATCACTGATTTATCACGTGCCAATCATCTATTGGATGAATAATGCCATTTTTAAACACGTGACAAACATTTATTGAACAGTGACGCCACTGAAACTAAATATCCGTTACATTAGAGAATTGCACTCGGTGTGCTACCTTATTCTGCTAATGTAAAAGGTATGATTGGCCGAGCATATCTCAAACAACTCCATGCAAAATTTGGAAACAGTTTGTGGGCAACCTTGTTACCACTGAATTTTGTTGAAATATGCTGCTAAGAATATGCAATGATCAGGAAAATTGGAAACTTTGACCCAAAAAAAAAAAGGAAATTGGATTTGTTTTCACCCGTTTTTTAAGTAACTTCGAAGGTATAAGAAATATTTTTATTAAATTAAAAAAAGAAAAAAAAAGTTACCAAAAATTAAATCCGACCTGCCGGATTCGAACCAGCGACCTAAGGATGGCTGAGAGATTATTACCCACTACAGTCCTCCGCTCTACCAACTGAGCTAAGGTCGGATTGCTGTCGTTTTGCATGGGATTTATAGACAAACAATGATAGAACTTAATAGTGCAATTTGGCAAAAAATTTGCAAAATGAGAATTAATCGAATAATCAGTTGATTATTACCATGAAAATTTGTTAAATTTTGTTGTACTATCGAAAATATTGTGTAGTTTATGGGTTGTGTCATAGATTTTTTTGTTTTTATTAAACGATAAATTTTGTTAAATTAACCATTGATAGGGTTCGAACTCACGCAATCATGCAATGACTCAATTCCTTTTCACCACTGTTATCGGGTAACCCGATTAGGGTATACACGTGGCTAACACGATATACGATAAACAAAATATTAATTTTATAACTTTATAACCCAAAAAAAATACTATAATAATTATGTATATATATATATATATATATTAATTTAACAATTTTATACCCCTAAAAACTATAATAATTATATATATATATATATTAAATTAAATATTAAAAATTGGTGATCATTGGATCAGCATAAATATATATATCATTCAATTTCTTAAGTGTTATACGTACAAAATAAATAAATTTAAATCCACTTAATAAATACACACACACACACACCATTGAACTTGATGAGATACGAATTCTACAAAACTAATTTCAATGATCTAACCGTCAAACTTGTTTGTATATGCTTCGAGATAGAATCAGCAAAAAATCGTAAAAAACTAACATTCAGAGGTCAAGTAATGGGACAAAACTTTTCAACGGTTATCAACGAAAAATCACGATTTAACGGTTATTTTAACTTCGATTTTGATGATTTTTTACAACCACACTCCTTTACCCTATATGAATACAATGTATGAACTCGATATTCAATTTAAAATATTTACACTAGTGGATACCACAAAATCTTATGTTATACTTAATGAAAGTATGAATAAAAACTCTTAAGTGTTAGTGAATTTATCATTTTGATAGGATACGCATTCTACGAAACCAATTTCATCGATCCAACCGTCAAACTTGTTTGTATATGCTTCAAAATCGCATACGCCAAAAATCACAGAAGACAAACATTCAGAGATCAAGTAACGGGACAAAACTTTTCGACGGTTATAAACGAAAAATCACAATTTAATGGTTATTTTAACTCTGACATAGATGATTTTTTACAGTTACACTCCTTGACCCTATACGAATACAATGAATGAACTCGATCTTCAATTTAAAAAGTTTACACTAGTGGATATCGCAAAATCTTATGTTATACTTGATGAAAGTATGAATAAACTATTAAGTTTTAGTGAATCTATTGTTTTGATGGGATACGCATTCTACGAAACTAGTTTCAACGATCCAACCGTCAAACATGTGTGTATATACTTCGAGATCGCATACGCCAAAAATTGCAAAAAACAAACATTCAGAAATCAAGTAACGAGACAAAACTTTTCAACGGTTATCAACAAAAAATCACAATTTAACGGTTTATTTTAACTCCGATTTTGATAATTTTTTACAGCTACACTCCTTGACCCTATATGAATACAATGAATGAATTGGATCTTCAATTTAAAATATTTTACACTAATGGATACCACAAAATCTTATGTTATACTTAATGAAAGTATAAATAAACTCTAAGTGTTAGTGAATCTATCGTTTTGATGGGATACACATTCTACAAAACTAATTTCAACAATCCAACCATTAAACTTGTTTGTATATGCTTCAAGATCGCATACGCCAAAAATCGCAACAAACAAACATTCAGATATCGAGTAATGGGACAAAACTTTTCGACAGTTATCAACGAAAAATCACGATTTAATGGTTATTTTAACTCCGATTTGATGATTTTTTTACAGCTACACTCTCTGCCCCTATATGAATACAATGAATGAATTCAATTTTCAATTTAAAATATTAACACTAGTGGATACCACAAAATCTTATATCATGATGATCGATGAAAATTGAGGATTTTGTAAAAGGAATAGCATACAAGCTTTGAGTTCCATTGGCAAGGTTTAAACTTTTGAGAAAGGCTTCACAACCTTGAAAACAAAAATTCTTTCATTTTGCATATCCTTGCGCATTTAATATTTTGTAATAGACCAATAGTGTATGGATGTTTGTTTATTAGGCTCTTATTTTTTAGTGTAAATGTAGTACTTAAACGATAAATATGTTTTAATATTTTGAAGTAATATTTATGTGGTAATATGTGGTATGTGCAAATTTAAGAAAAAAAAAATATTTTTCTTAACAGGTCATAATGGGTCATAACGGGTCGGGTCATTTTACCCATTGGGTAAAGTGACTCGACCTGTTAAAGACCCGTTAAGATAACCGATGTGACACGACACGATCCGTTAAGATAATAGGTGTTACACGAACACGACAAACATGACCCGTTTGCCAGAAATGAGAGGGGTAAATCATAAAACGATTCTCTAGTGGAGGATAAGTTTTCTAAACAAAAAGTATTGAGCGTTATTAATCTAAGATCATTAATTTCGTCACCCAATTGATTAAAAACTCTCTGACATGCACATGCAAAGGCATGTAGCACAACTCTACATGACAACTCTATAATGGATGAATGATGTATTATTTAGGATAGTGGGTCAAATCGAATGAATCGAAGAATATTAATAACCAAATATTACAAAAGTATGTGGAAAATACAAATGGATGTGTGAATAGCACTTCCTATTATTTACATACATGACAAATATACATATTTATAATATCGATAGTGTCACTGAAACAATATATTAAATGTTATTCTAATTGATAATGTTAATCTGTATACCCTTCAAAAAAAAGGGATCTAATTGAACTTTACGCTCCAAATTTTTTACCCAACACCGTTGATGAAACAATCCAATAAATCCAATTATAACAAGTTCTTATAGAATTTCTAATATAATTAAAAAAGATTAACCCCAAGCAAAATATGCTGAAATCCCCTTGGAAGTATCAAAGAAATAATACTAACATGTAGAAAAATAAACATAATCCTTATTTTGTTGCTCTCTTTGATGGAAGTTTTATTTTCCCATAATGTATCCTAATTTTTATGCCCAAGCCAAAATATCACAAGTCCCACCTCCTCCTCGACCCCCATAAAAAGAAAGGAAATAAAAAAGAAAAACATTCATTCCAAGTTGATTCCAGGATAAGAAAGAAAAGAATACACGATGAGCCCAAGTCACACAGCAAAGAGGTCAAACTCAAACTTTTGGGACCAGAAACATCAGAGATAGGCTTTTACAATTACCCGTTAAGCGTTAAATATACAGAAAGAAAACAAATGCGACATGAAAAGGTCAAGGGTTTATGAAAGAGTGAAAAATTAGAGTATCAGTCGTGCTTTAATTATCTACCTTCAACCAGACTATTGGTTATTTCAGATATAATTTTTGGCTTACTAGAAGAAGAAGCTGTGCTGGAGTTGCCTTTCCTTGTGAGAAATGCTGGCTGTTTAGGAGCCGGACACATTGCAGTTTCACTGTCGAGCATGGTGATCACATTCGACACGGAGTGGCGATCGCTCGGATCTTCTTGTACGCATAAGAGTCCGACATTGACACACTTGATAAACTGGCTTTCGTTGCAACTTTCTTCCAGAGTCTTGTCCATTAAATCCAGCACCTTGTTTTCTGTCCAGAGTCTCCATGCCTGGGAAAATGGTAAAATTCAAAAATTGTGTATAGGGTTTGATGGGGTTTAAATGGATATGGAATATTTGACGCACTTACATAATTTATGAGGCTGAAAGTTTGTTCGATTGATAAAAGCCTGTGTTCTTTTTTCCACTGATTATCTCAAGAAGAACCACGCCAAAGCTAAAGACATCTGATTTCATTGAGAAAGTTCCATCCAATGCATACTCTGGAGACATGTAACCACTGCATCAAAAAAATATACTTAGTAACTTATGCAGGCACAAAAGCACTTTCACCTAAAAGGGTCAAGGATATGAAATCATAGACACAGAACTTAGTAGCTTACTAAGTTCCAACTACAGTGTTTGTGTTTGCCTGAGTTTCCTTGCCTCCAACAATCCTCGCCAAACCGAAGTCAGATATTTTGGGGTTCATCTCCTCATCTAGGAGAATGTTGCTGGTTTTCAAATCTCTATGAATGATCCTCAATCTGGAATCTTGATGAAGATAAAGAAGCCCTCGAGCGATTCCCAAAATGATGCTAAAACGCATCTCCCAGTTGAGAAACATGCTTTTTGTATGATCTTGCAGAATTTCCATTTTCCATATAGAGAAAAATTTAGAAGCTATCGTAGTTAAGTCAATCAAGAAATCATATCATGCAGTAAAAGATAATGAAAAGAGGAGTTGGAACGAACCGAATATAAAGAAGTCTAAACTTTTGTTAGGCATGTACTCATAGAGTAAGATCTTTTCTTCTCCTTTCATGCAATATCCCTTAAGTCTAACAAGGTTTCGGTGTTGAAGTTTGGCAATCAGCACCACCTCATTCCTAAATTCCTGCAAGCCTTGTCCTTAAACCCTTGATAGCCTTTTCACCGCAATTTCTTGGCCTCCAATAAACATTCCCTGGCAACAAAATCCCTTACATATAAATTTACAACTAACCACAACAGATAAACATTAATGACAACAAGTGATGCTATATAAAGTTGATTCGAGTGCAAAGGAATGGTAAACAACTGTTCAATTACCTTGTAAACAGGCCCGTATCCCCCTTGTCCAAGCTTGTTTGCATTTGAGAAATTATCTGTAGCGTCTAGTATAGTTTGCATATCAAAAAAAGGTACATCTATACCTTCCTCTTCCTTGAACTCGCTTGTGTCTATCAACTCCTTGACTCTCCTTTCACTATCAAATTGTCCTCGTCTTATTTGATCTAATACAGGGAATTGAAGACATTTATTCACATCAACTATGAACAACTCTGCAGATCTTTCATGACAATAACGCATATAGAAAAGCAGTTACCTCGTTTGTTGTTCATATTTCTTCGCCATATATAAATGGAAATGACGATGCACGCCAGAAAAATCACACTTAAAAGCACCGCTACAGTTATCAGAGGCAATGGCAATTTTCTTTTCGTACGGTCTTCCTTGATGAACCTTGAAGATTACCTTCTGCAAGAACGAAAATAAAATATTTTTTATTGTCATATAATCTAAATTTTCTGCAGCACTCGTGTCAACATAAAAATTTGATTTGCAAGAGGGTACATGACCGAAATTTTGTGCCTAACATGATATTCTCACCTTGAGTACATCTTAATTTCAAGTGATCCCATCGAAAACTGGATTTGCAAAGGCATCTTTTATTTCCATCGCTTGCAGGATTGCACATTGAATGTGGCCAATCCGTGCAGTCTGAAGATTTTTCACAGGTTGGTTCCAGTACTGGTAGCTCCCAACCCATCTCGACTACAATCGGACCTCTGGATGACAGTACTTCAGAACTAAAATTACCCAGGTCAGCATTGCACAAACTTATTACTTTAAATGGTTTGATCTGCGAATTTACCCCTCTGTTCATACGATCACATTTATCTACATTTTCGGTTTGGAAGCCTTGGATGAAAAATCTCTGTGAACTCGAGTTAATGCTAATAACTCTAAACAAGGTTTCATTCAGCCCAGGAATCAGTCCCACAAATTTAACCTCATCTGTGAAGTTTTCGCACTTGAAATGGAAGTACATGGGGTCACCGCAATCCGGACTTGTGCTCAAGGGATAAGGGATGATGGTTGTGCCACAAGGCTTACAGTCTCTTACAGTTGATTCTGCACAAGGCGTAATTAATTGACTGTTATAGCTACCTCATTTATGTCCACATCGAATAATCTCATGCTTTTGCAATTATGTTCACAAGGGTTTAACCCCGCGTTTAATCAAATATAAATAGAATCATGCTAATTGAAACGATATATACATGTAAGGAATAGCATGAAACAGCAGAAAGCATAACGATAAAACTCATGTAACTGAAGCTCATTCTCAGTTCTACATTTTGGCTCATAATTCACAAGGTAAATAGTTATGCCATCCACACATTCATTTGTTAGTTTGAGGAAGCTTCAGAGGAAGAATACCTAAATCAGACAACGCAACACGAACAGAGAGGTCCTGGCCTGCATCGGTATACTCTTCTTCAAGATTATTTAGATCTCCCAAGTTCCATATTCTGCACAATTTAGCATCCCTTCGATTACTATACTCTCCAGATTTAGCATATGAATAGGCCTTGCACAGGCAGCTATTTAAGCACCCGTTCCTGCATTCTGTTTCATTCTCAACGTTGATTTGTGAATCTGGGGTTCCCACTTTCATCTTCTTCAAGCTCAAGAAGGTATCGCTCTTGTTGTTGCCGCATAACACAGAGTCTCTTATGCATCCACCTGAAAAGTCTCCAGAATTCCACTGCTGTAGATATTGGGGCTTGAAACCTGGCAAACATTTGCACAGAAGCGGCCAATTATTACTATTGCAGCTGCCATAGTTGCCGCAAGCATTAAACACACTACATTCATCTCTTGGCGCCCACCAATACAAATTCCACTGCTTTGTGGAATTAATCCACGTCCAAAACTGTATCTCTCCAGTAATATTAATCACCAACCTTGTATAATTGTATTCTGATCGTGGAGGAATTGCTATGTTTTTATAAGCGGAGTTTTGACTCGCATTCCTGAAAATGTTGGAATTTCTAACAACATATTTCTTGCTGAAACTTGATAGTAAGTAAGTAACCGCAGGAAGCATTTGATCAAAGCTGTAAAATGTATCAGTTGCGTGTTCTCCGCCTTTCCAGTACGGAATCGATTCAATTTTTGATTTTGATTTTGTGATGACATACTGGTTCTCTTTATCTAGATCTTGTTTGAAGATGAATTGCCCGCTTGCCGGGTCATCTTCGCCTGTCCATGAAGTCAACTCCAAGCTTTTATTCATTACCATCCCAGGAATGAATGTATCAGTTGGACTTTGAAAGCTCTGCCACAAAAATTTCTCTGCCAAATCGCCACTGCTTAGAACAAGGTTCCCGGAATCCATGAGCCTTGCAGTCCGTGCTGAAGACTTGGATGTTTCATGCCCCGTTGACCAGTAACTCTTTCCAGTAGCATCCAACACTTGGAGGTCATCATCTTGGAGTGCAAGGCGTCTGGTACCAGTGGAATTGAGAACTGGCTTTTCTCTGTTGGCAACCCATACCACTGTCCTCGGACTCAATTGGTGATACCATATGCCAACATATCTTTGAGTCCCTTTAGATGAAGGGCTAAAGAATCCGAGTTCAAATCTTCCTCCAGATGAAACAAGAGTTTCTGATTCATTCATTGGAGTGCCGTATGTTATTGTATCTCTAGCACAGCAAAATGGGTGAGATGAGCACAACAAGACTGCTACAGCATACGAAACGAAGATGGAAAACAGCATGCGATTCGCAAACCATGCAACCTCGTAATTTGATCTTGTTAACCTCCCTCTGAGAAACATCATTAATTAAGGAGAGGCTACTACTACCAAAAGATTGGCAACTTAATTAACATATATCGGATAGAATGTTGATCCTGTGGCAATCATTCAATGCTGCCTGGTTGAACAGTAGTTGGCACAACGTGAAAGTCAAGGTCGTCGAGTTCTTTTTCAACTTTTCTTTGTTTCCACTAATGTCGATATGGCTATGGCCTACATGTATAGAGACTGAGCTCAATGATTGCAAAGTGGCAAATGCACGGTCACGGTCGTCGAATTGTTGTATATCATCTCTTCTTCGTGTCCACAACTTTATTTCTCGCTTTCCCTCTTATTTTGTAAATGGCTTTTTTTTTCTTTTTTTCATTTTTCTGTTGTACAAGAATAGTCAATAACGAGACAATGCATATACATTATCCAGCGTCCATAGTCCAAGCTAATTTATCCAAAACTTTCGATTTTACCGATGAATGCAATTTGAAAGAAAAATAAACAAATAAATAAGAATTTAATTTGGGTCTTCATCTTCTTTGGGGAGTATATGGCAGTTATGCAGGGCGAAGCAGTTTAATTTTGTGCTTTATAAGGAAGTAAATAAGCAAGATTAAGAAGTAATGACTAATGAGGAGCATACTATTAGGAAATCGAGAATGCTATGGCGGCCGGCGAGTGAGTATCTCCACCTCCGATGCTCGGCCAATTGCACCACCTCACACCGAGGCTGTTGTTGAGAAGCGAACCGTGAGCATGAGGATGACGATTCTGTCAGCACGGGTGGAGCCACCTTAGCCTTGGACTGTAGCTTAGGGAGGTTTTTTGTAAGTGTAGTGCTGTTTACACGCTCATTTTTATTTTTCATACATCCTTCTTAGTTTTCGTCATTCGATGGAGTAAATTATAAGATTAATGGCAAAAAATTAATAAGGATGTTTGAATAGCACTATCTTTTTTTTAACTCATGCTTTAATGGCTTATGTTAATGCATGTAGCCTACATAGCCCACTCAATCCCAAAACAGGTTAGCATTTCATGTATATTTAGTAGAGGATAGGTAATAAATAGAACTTTTTATGCTAAAAATAATAAACTAGTTCTATCTCCTCTCCCCCTTCTATCCTATTCGTTAAAGAAAAAGATCATTTACTCTATGCAATTTAGCCTCTGTACTTCTTACTCAAGAAAAGAAAAATAACTTTTTTTAGTTCACAATTAAATTCCTATATCCACAATTCCTTATTTTTCGTTTCCGATTTTCCAATGAATGTAACTTTTGGTACGTTCTTAATTGCTTTAATTACTTCTTCTTGATTTATTTAGTAGGTTAATTATTTATATGGTCCTTGAAGTTATCTGTTAGGGTTATGATTTCAATAATTATTTATATTCTATTATGGTTTTTTATTATATAATAAAAAAATAAACATATGATTTTATAGTACTAATTTCAACTAATTCACCAAAAAAAATAAAAAATCATGGCTCCGCCCTTGCCTATCATCCGGAGCCCCATTGTCGATGGCTGTTATTCCTTGTGAAAATTAAATTTCCTTTCAATTCTCAGTGCACCTTGAGGGGTACATATGCAATTTTGGAAAAATTTTGGTGGCATCAATAGTTATGCTGGGCTTCAGCAGTGTAGGTTCGAACCCAACTGTCAGCCATATTAACCTTTGGGCTTCGGATTTGGCCCAACATCAATAGGTTTAAACTTTTGAGAAAGGCTTCACAACCTTGAAAACAAAAATTCTTTCATTTTGCATATCCTTGCACATTTAATATTTTGTAATAGACCAATAGTGTATGAATGTTTGTTTATTAGGCTCTTATTTTCGAGTGTAGATGTAGTACTTAAACGATAAATATGTTTTATTGAAGTAATATTTATGTGGCAATGTGTGGTATGTGCAAATTTAAGAAAAAAATATATATTTTTCTTAACAGGTCATAATGGGTCATAACGGGTCGGGTCATTTTACCCATTGGGTAAAGTGACCCGACCTATTAAGGACTCGTTAAGATAACCGATGTGACATGACACGATCCGTTAAGATAATAGGTGTTACACGAAAACGATACGAACACGACAAACACGATCCATTTGCCAAATATGAGAGGGGTAAATCATAAAACGATTCTCTAGTGGAGGATAAGTTTTCTAAACAAAAAATATTGAGCGTTATTAATCTAAGATCATTAATTTCGTCACCCAATTGATTAAAAACTCTCTAACATGCACATGCAAAGGCATGTAGCACAGCTCTACATGACAACTATATAATGGATGAATGATGTATTATTTAGGATAGTGGGTCAGATCGAATGAATCGAAGAATATTAATAACCAAATATTACAAAAGTATGTGGAAAATACAAATGGATGTGTGAATAGCACTTCCTATTATTTACATACATGACAAATATACATATTTATAATATCGATAGTGTCACTGAAACAATATATTAAATGTTATTCTAATTGATAATGTTAATCTGTACACTCTTCAAAAAAAAAAGGATCTAATTGAACTTTACGCTCCAAATTTTTTACCCAACACCGTTGATGAAACAATCCAATTATAACAAGTTCTTATAGAATTTCTAATATAATTAAAAAAGACTAACCCCAAGCAAAATATGCGGAAATCCCCTTGGAAGTATCAAAGAAATAATGCTAACATGTAGAAAAATAAACCTATTCCTTATTTTGTTGCTCTCTTCGATGGAAGTTTTATTTTCCCATAATGCATCCAAATTTTTATGCCCCAAGCCAAAATATCACAAGTCCCACCTCCTCCTCGACCCCCATAAAAAGAAAGGAAATAAAAAAGAAAAACATTCATTCCAAGTTGATTCCAGGATAAGAAAGAAAAGAATACACGATGAGCCCAAGTCACACAGCAAAGAGGTCAAACTCAAACTTTTGGGACCAGAAACATTAGAGATAGGCTTTTACAATTACTCGTTAAGCGTTAAATATACAGAAAGAAAACAAATGCGACGTGAAAAGGTCAAAGGTTTATGAAAGAGTGAAAAATTAGAGTATCAGCCGTGCTTTAATTATCTACCTTCAACCAAACTATTGGTTATTTCAGATATAATTTCTGGCTTACTAGAAGAAGAAGCTGTGCTGGAGTTGCCTCTCCTTGTGAGAAATGCTGGCTGTTTAGGAGCTGGACACATTGCAGTTTCACTGTCGAGCATGGTGATCACATTCGACATGGAGTGGCGATCGCTCGGATCTTCTTGTACGCATAAGAGTCCGACATTGACACACTTGATAAACTGGCTTTCGTTGCAACTTTCTTCCAGAGTCTTGTCCATTAAATCCAGCACCTTGTTTTCTGTCCAGAGTCTCCATGCCTGGGAAAATGGTAAAATTCAAAAATTGTGTATAGGGTTTGATGGGGTTTAAATGGATATGGAATATTTGACGCACTTACATAATTTATGAGGCTGAAAGTTTGTTTCGATTGATAAAAGCCTGTGTTCTTTTTTCCACTGATTATCTCAAGAAGAACCACGTCAAAGCTAAAGACATCTGATTTCACTGAGAAAGTTCCGTCCAATGCATACTCTGGAGACATGTAACCACTGCATCAAAAAATATACTTAGTAACTTATGCAGGCACAAAAGCACTTTCACCTAAAAGGGTCAAGGATATGAAATCATAGACACAGAACTTAATAGCTTACTAAGTTCCAACTATAGTGTTTGTGTTTGCATGAGTTTCCTTGCCTCCAACAATCCTCGCTAAACCGAAGTCAGATATTTTGGGGTTCATCTCCTCATCTAGGAGAATGTTGCTGGTTTTCAAATCTCTATGAATGATCCTCAATCTGGAATCTTGATGAAGATAAAGAAGCCCTCGAGCGATTCCCAAAATGATGCTAAAACGCATCTCCCAGTTGAGAAACATACGTTTTGTATGATCTTGCAGAATTTCCATTTTCCATATAGAGAAAAATTTAGTAGCTATGGTAGTTAAGTCAATCAAGAAACCATGTATCATGCAGTGACAGATAATGAAAAGAGGAGTAGGAACGGACCGAATATAAAGGAGTCTAAACTTTTGTTAGGCATGTACTCATAGAGCAAGATCTTTTCTTCTCCTTTCATGCAATAGCCCTTAAGTCTAACAAGGTTTCGGTGTTGAAGTTTGGCGATCAGCACCACCTCATTTCTAAATTCCTGTAAGCCTTGTCCTGAAACCCTTGATAGCCTTTTCACCGCGATTTCTTGGCCTCCAAGAAACATTCCCTGCAACAAAATCCCTTACATATAAATTTATAAGAAACCACAACAGATGAACATCAATGACAAACAAGTGTTGCTATATAAGGTGATTCAAGTACTAAGGAATGGTAAACAACTGTTCGATTACCTTGTAAACAGGCCCGTATCCCCCTTGTCCAAGCTTGTTTGCATTTGAGAAATTATCTGTAGCGTCCAGTATAGTTTGCATATCAAAAAAAGGTACATCTATACCTTCCTCTTCCTTGAACTCGCTTGTGGTTATCAACTCCTTGACTCTCCTTTCACTATCAAATTGTCCTCGTCTTATTTGATCTAATACAGGGAATTGAAGACATTTATTCACATCAACTATGAACAACTCTGCAGATCTTTCATGACAATAACGCATATAGAAAAGCAGTTACCTCGTTTGTTGTTCATATTTCTTCGCCATCTATAAATGGAAATGACGATGCACGCCAGAAAAATCACACTTAAAAGCACCGCTACAATTATCAGAGGCAATGGCAATTTTCTTCTCGTATGCTCTTCTTTTGGTTGTCCTAGAAGATTACCTTCTGCAAGAAAGAAAAGAAAATATTTTTTATTGTCATATAATCATTTTTACTGTATTGTACAATGTAAAACGATTCTGCAGCACTCGTATCGACATAAAAATTTGATTTGCAAGAGGGCACATGCATGACCGAAATTTTATACCTAACATGATATTCTCACCTTGAGTACATCTTAATATCGAGCCATTCCATCGAAAATTGGCTTCGCACAGGCATCTTTTCTTTCCATCTCGTGCACTCTTGCAAATTGAATGTGCCCAACCCCCGCAGTCTGCAGATGTTGTGCAGGTTGGTTCCTTTGGTAGCTCCCAACCCATCTCCACTACTTTAGGACCTCCGGATGAAAGTACTTCAGAACTAAAATTACCCAGGTCAGCCTTACACGGACTGATTACTTCAAATGGAAATGATGGATTGTTCTGCCAATTAGCCGCACTGTTTCTAGGATCACAGTTATCTACATTTTCGGTCTGGGGGCCTTGGATGAAAAATCTCTGGGTACTTGAGTTTATGCTAATAACTCTAAACGAGGTGTCATTCAGTCCCACAAAGCTAACCTGACCTGTGAAGTTGTTGCACTTGAAACGGGAGTACATGGGGTCACCGCAACCCAGTCCTGTGCTCAGGGGATAAGGGATGATGGTTGTGCCGCAAGGCTTACAGTCTCTTACAGTTGATTCTGCACAAGGTGTAATTAATTGACTGTCATAACGAGCTAAGAAATTATCACTACCTCATTTATGTTCATATCGAATAATCTCATGCTTTTGCAATTATGTTCAAAAGGGCTTAACCCCACTTTTAATCAAAGGTAAATAGAATCATGCTAATTGAAACTATATACATGTATGGAATAGCGTGAAACAACAGAAGGCATAAAGATAAAACTCATGTAACTAATGTTCACACAGAAAAAAAAAATCTGCCATCCACACATTCATTTAATAGTTTCGGAAAACTTCAGAGGAAGAATACCTAAATCAGACAACGCAACACGAACATAGAGGTCTTGGCCCGTATTGGTATACTCTTCTTCAAGATTATTTAGATCTCCCGCGTTCCATATTCTGCACAATGAAGTAGCCGCCTCATTTCGATTACTACTGTTTTCAGATTTAGTATATGAATAAACCTTGCACGAGCAGCTATTTAAGCACCCGTTCCTGCATTCTGTTTCATTGTCAACGTTTCTTTCTGAATCTGGGTTTCCCACTTTCATCTTCTTCAAGCTCAAGAAGGTATCATTCTTGTTGTCGCCACATAATGCGAACTTTCTTGTGCATCCACCTGAAAAGTCTCCAGAATTCCACTGCTGTAGATCCAGGGGTTTGAAACCTGGCAAACATTTGCACAGAAACGGCCTGTTATTATAATTGCAGCTGCCATAGTTGCCGCAAGCATTTAACACACTGCAGTTATCTCTTGGCGCCCACCAATACAAATTCCACTGCTTTGTGGAATTAATCCACGTCCAAAACTGTATCTCTCCAGTAATATTAATCACCAACCTTGTATAATTGTATTCTGATCGTGGAGGAATTGCTATGTTTTTATGAGCGGAGTTTTGACTCGCATTCCTGATAATTTTGGGATTTCTAACAACATATTTCTTGCTGAAATTTGATAGTAAGTAAGTAACCGCAGGAAGCATTTGATCAAAGCTGTAAAATGTAACAGGTGCCTGTTCTCCGCCTTTCCAGTACGGAATCGATTCAATTTTTGATTATGATTTTGTGATGACATACTGGTTCTCTTTATCTGGATCTTGTTTGAAGATGAATTGCCCGCTTGCCGGGTCATCTTCGCCTGTCCATGAAGTCAACTCCAAGCTTTTATTCATTACAATCCCAGGAATGAATGTATCAGTTGGACTTTGAAAGCTCTGCCACAGAATATTCACTGCCAACTGATCATCGCCGCTGCTTAGGACAAGGTTCCCGGAATCCATGAGCTTCGCAGTCCGTGTTGAAGACTTGGATGTTTCAAGCCCCGTTGACCAGTAACTCTTTCCAGTAATATCCAACACATGGAGGTTCCCATCTTGGAGTGCAAGAGATCCGGTTCTGGTGGAATTGAGAACTGGGGATTCTCTGTTGGCAACCCATACCACTGTCCTCGGACTCAGTTGGTGATACCATATGCCAACATATCTTTGAGTTCCTGTAGGTGAAGGGCTAAAGAATCCGAGTTCAAATCTTCCTCCAGATGAAACAAGAGTCCCTGATTCAACACCGTCGATAATTGGAGTGTCGTATGTTATTGTATCTGTAGTATAGCGAAAGCAAACTGAGTGCGATGAGCACAACAAGATTGCTAAAGCATATGAAACGAGGATGGAAAACAGCATGCGATTCGCAAACCATGCAACCTCGTAATTTGATCTTGTTAACCTCCCTCTGAGAAACATCATTAATTAAGGAGAGGCTACTGCTACCAAAAGATTGACAACTTAATTAACATATATCGTAGAGAATGTTGATCCTGTGGCAATCATTCAATGCTGCATAGTTGAACAGTAGTTGGCCCAAAGTGAAAGGTCAAGGCCGTCGAGTTCTGTAGATTTTTCAACTCTTCTTTGTTTCCACTGATGTCGTTATGGCTATGGCCTACATGTATAGAGACTGAGCTCACTGATTGCAATGTGGCAAATGCACGGTCACGGTCGTTGAATTGTTGTATATCATCTCTTCTTTGTGTCCACAACTTTATTTCTCGCTTTCCCTCTTATTTTGTAAATGGCTTTTTTTTTCTTTTTTTTCATTTTTCTGTTGTACAAGAATAGTCAATAACGAGACAATGCATATACATTATCCAGCGTCCATAGTCCAAGCTAATTTATCCAAAACTTTCGATTTTACCGATGAATGCAATTTGAAAGAAAAATAAACAAATAAATTAGAATTTAATTTGGGTCTTCATCTTCTTTGGGGAGTATATGGCAGTTATGCAGGGCGAAGCAGTTTAATTTTGTGCTTTATAAGGAAGTAAATAAGCAAGATTAAGAAGTAATGACTAATGAGGAGCATACTATTAGGAAATCGAGAATGCTGTGGCGACCGGCGAGTGAGTATCTCCACCTCCAATGCTCGGCCAATTGCACCACCTCACACCGAGGCTGTTGTTGAGAAGCGAACCGTGAGCATGAGGATGACGATCCTGTCAGCACGGGCGGAGCCACCCACAAGGCTAAGGTGGGCTGTAGCTTAGGGAGGTTTTTTGTAAGTGTAGTGCTGTTTACACGCTCATTTTCATTTTTCACACATCCTTCTTAGTTTTCGTCATTCGATGGAATAAATTATAAGATTAATGGCAAAAAATTAATAAGAATGTGTGAATAGCACTATCTTTTTTTTAACTCATGCTTTAATGGCTTATGTTAATGCATGTAGCCTGCATAGCCCACTCAATCTCAAAACAGGTTAGCATTTCATGTATATTTAGTAGAGGATAGGTAATAAATAGAACTTTTTATGCTAAAAATAATAAACTAGTTTCTATCTCCTCTCTCCCTTCTATCCTATTCATTAAAGAAAAAGATCATTTACTCTATGCGATTTAGCCTCTGTACTTCTTACTCAAGAAAAGAAAAAGAATGTTTTTTAGTTCACAATTAAATTCCTATATCCCCAATTCCTTATTTTTCATTACCGATTTTCCAATGAATGTAACTTTTGGTGCGTTCTTAATTGCTTTATTTACTTCTCCTTGATTTATTTAGTAGGTTAATTATTTATATGGTCCTTGAAGTTATCTGTTAGGGTTATGATTTCAAGAATTGTTGATATTCTATTATGGTTTTTATATTGATTATTATATAATTTTATATAATAAAAAAATAAACATATAATTTTATAGTATTAATTTCAACTAACTCACCAAAAAAAAAAAATTAATCATGGCTCCGTCCTTGCCTTTCATCCGGAGCCCCATTGTCGATGGCTGTTATTCCTTGTGAAAATTAAATTTCCTTTCAATTTTCAATGCACCTTGAGGGGTACATAGGCAATTTTGGAAAAATTTTGGTGGCATCGATAGTTATGCTGGGCTTCAGCAGTCAGGTTCGAACCCATCTGTCGGCCATATTAACGTTTGGGCTTCGGATTTGGCCCAACATTTTTGTACTAGTGAAGAAGTCGCTTATTTTGCCCTGTAACTATTTCCAGTAGTATCCCACACGTGGACGTTACAGTCTTGGAGTGCAAGAAATCTGATTTTTTTTTTTTTTTTTCCTATTTCTTTTGGCGAAGGGGTAAAGAATTCGAGTTCAAAACTTCCTCCGGCACAACAAGACTACTATTGCATACGAAATGAAGATGGAAAACAGCAGGCGATTCACAAACCTTGCTGCAATGACGTACTTTGATCTTGCTACCCTCATACTGGTAAATGTTAACCTTGTTGCAATCACTTTGTGAGAATGTGGGGACGAAGTTCCACTTTGGTGAGGGACGTAAGGATTTATAAAAGATTGAACTACTCTTTATATTAGCAATTAATTTTATAATGAAACCTCAATTTTTTTCACACTCAATGCTATCGCGAATCTTTGTGTCCACTCCTTCACTTTCTATTAGGATATTACACCCATATGCACTTTTCATTTTTCGTTTCGACACCATATCCCAATACTAAAGTCAGATTTTTGCAAAGTTCTTAGTTTTATAACAAAGTGGTATATAAAAAATTGGTACATATTACATAAAAAAAATATAAAAAAAAATTGTACTGATCCTATATTCAAGAAAATAAAAAATAAATTAATATATGTTTAGAATTTTGTAATATTAATCTTGGGAGATATTTTGTTTACACCTTTTAACCTTACACACACTACCTTTAATATCTAATCATAAAATTAAATAAATCGAACAAAATAACGGACAATATTTAACAAGAGTTTTCGAGAAGCTTAAAACGACGCTAATTATATTTCCGAGTAATGCTATTTATACCATATTTTTATATCACCTTAGGCGGTATTCGATGTGGATAGCCATATCATTTGAATTAATCAGATTTTTAAATTTAGTTCATTATTTAATAAACTAATAATTAAAAAAAAACTAATTAATTAAATGACAATTGTGGTATAGGAAGAGTTTTTCTTCTTTATTTCCTTGAATTTTGTAAATTTTTCAAATAATATGGTTGTTCACATTAAATATCACTTAAAGTGGTACAAAAATATGGTATAAAAATATGTTTTCAATCTTTGTTATTTTTCCTAATTTGACGACTGGCTATTGGCGGTTTCTATGCTGAGCGCGTCGGCTTGATGATTCTTATCTATTATAATATTTTTAATAAAAAAGTAGGATAGGAATTGAGGACATGATTCGGAGCCGCGAAACGCAAGGCTGAAAATCGCGCTATTCGGGGATTCGGGACCCACAGTACACGTAATAAATAATCAAATCTTGCGGGTGCAGACCCACGTGGTCCGATGGCTCAAATTCCGCCATGCAAGCGAATAGAATCTCCTCACATAGAAATACGCCACCTGGATGCCATGTCAGCCAGATTTTCGAAAATATCCTTGCGAGTCTGCACCAACCAAAGGAGGGAAAAGACCGAAGGCCCCCCCCCGCGTGCACATACAGACCACACAAGCTTTTGTTCCCCCAGGAGCCGACACCTGGCGCCGCGGAGCACCACAGCCTCCGCCTTTGGTCGTCCTCCCATTGAAACCTTTGGACTATTTTGAATTTCTGCAGCGTTTTGTACTTGAAATGACCTCCATGCCCTTTGTCTACTTGGTGGTATTCAAGGCACTTTCTTTTCAACTTTTTTCTATTTTTTTAAAAGAAATTGGTGAGAGATTTGAGTGAATTTACTGTTCTTTTATTTTCTCGTCTGATCGAGTAAATTTTAGATACATGCAATCACTTGAAAAATATGCATTCAATGTATTTAAAGCTTCTTAAGCAAAAGTAATTCAAACGATCTATTATATTTATAACTTGGCCTATAATTTTTTTCATCATTTAATTACCTGTACGATTATATGACATAACCTAAGGCGAGAAGTTTATCTAGTAGACAATGACAACTTCAACCACAAGTCCACAACCTCGTATAGGCTTGAAGCTTAAAAATAAACTTAAAATACGTGCAATCATCTGTAAATGAGGTAAGTAATTTGTATTAAGCTAATTCTTGAAATTTAATTATTTGAGTAGTTGATGTGTCAAAAACATGTTCCAAGAATGGTAAAATCGTAATTGAAATAAAAAGCAGGGCTGATGCTATTATTGTCGGCAAGTGGCCCTTTCCCTTGTTTTCCCTTCCATCTTACCCATCCTGAAGTTGCAGAAGAGAGAGAATAAGATTTTCCGAGAAACACCCAGAAACTGCGAGAAAAGAAAATTCCCAAAAACTGAAGGCGGACTCTGCGTCCTTTGCAATCAAGAGAAAGATGAAGAATTGCGAGCTCTGCCGGCTTCCAGCGAGAATCTTCTGCGAATCAGACCAGGCGATTCTGTGCTGGGACTGCGACGCCAAGGTTCACGGCGCCAATTTCCTGGTGTCTCGCCACTCCCGGAGCCTCCTCTGCCACGGCTGCCAGTCTCTCACGCCTTGGAAGGCCTCCGGCGAAAAGCTCGGCCACACTTTTTCGGTGTGCGAGAGCTGCGTTCTCCCTAGACGGAGGCAGAGACGACGACGACGAGAGCCAGGGCGGCAATGATGAGGAATTCGATTCGGATAACGATGAGATTGACGACGACGATGACGACGATGATGATGAGGATGTTGATTTCGATGAGGACGGAGATAATCAAGTGGTGCCGTTGTCTTCCACCGCGACGCCGCCTCCGCCGACTTCAAGCGCATCGAGCGGCGAGCAGTCTGCGACTGCTTTCAACAATGGCGGTGGAGGTGATTCCAAAACCGCCACCGCCGTTTCGTTGAAGCGATTCAGAGAAACCGCGTCGGATCTTCGCTCCCAGGTACGTTATTCTCCGTTTCCGTTGATTTCAGAATCGTCTTTCATTTTTCAACGGCTAAGATTCGTAAGTTTATATCACAGATCGCCGATCTCGACCGTTCATGTCCTCACCAGAGGTGTGGCTCCGCTAAGGCTGCTCGAGCGGGTCCGTCGGAACGCAACGGCGGAGCCACTTCGGTTGACTCATCGAGACCTCGAAAAGACCGGAGAATCGACCTAAACCGGCCGGCTTCTCCGTCCTCGCCCGTTATTGAGCCCCCGAGGAGTTTTCGCCGGCAAGGCAATCCGTAACCTTTAATGAAGGATCTGAAGCCGTCGATCTTGACCGCAGCCGTCGTAGCCGTCGGATATGAGGTAGCTTATGATGGATAATTCTTTTTAATTACCTAACAACAGTTTCAACTCAACTGATCCTGATTAGAGCACTAGTTAAATTTGTATTAGTCAGACAATTTGTTTAATATTCTCCTTGTTTATGTCGTGCCATTATTTTATAAAAAAAAAACAGTACTTTGTAATTTGTAGGAGAGTTTGAATTTTTTTCTCTGTTTTTTTTTTCTTGTATTAAAATGGAATTTTGGGTTTGTTTTG